GAAGAAGAAGTAAGAGAAGAGAAAGAGGAAGAGGAAGGAGGGAGAAATGGGAGGAGAGGGAGAGCGAGAGAGGCGGGGAGGAGTTTGTGTGGTAGAGAGAGAAAGCACTCGAGCAAGGTGACGCGTGGGGGAGGAGGAAAAGGACAAGGAGGAGGTAGAGAGGGAAGTAGAAGGAAAAGGAGGCAATGGAGGGGAGAGAGAAGAGGCGTTGCCACAGGAGGTGGAGGGGGAGGAGGGTGAGGAAGGGGGGAGGGAGGAGGAGTAAGTCGAGGAAGAAGGTGGATATGGCGGCTATTGTCTTTAGCCGAATAGAACGCGCGGTCATTATCGCTGTATCTGGCGCTGAAAACTGCACCAAATATAGCTGTAATGACCTGGCGTTCTCTGTGGGTGAAGACGGTCGGAGGAGGAGGAGGAGGAGGAGGAGGAGGAGGTGGATGAGGAGGTGGTAATATAGGTAGCTTTCTCTCGTCAAAGATGATCTGCGGGAATGCCGCGCGCTTCGGAAATGGAGAAATTAAAAAATGCTGACGTATCCAGCTGAAGATGATAGCCATTAAAAAAAAAGGACGGTGGCGATGGATCTGTGTCCCCTCTGCTACCGTTCTCCCTCTCTCCCCTCACTTCCCTTGTGTTTGTTCTCCGTTGATCGGCTTTGAGCTGCCGATCCGTTGTACTGCAGCTCACGTGTTTATTATACTTTTTTCCAGTACAAATCGTCTGCATCAGACTTACAATTACCCCCTTACCTCTGTCTCTGTCTATGTGTGTGTGTGTGTGTGTGTGTGTGTGTGTGTGTGTGTGAGAGAGAGAGAGAGAGAGAGAGAGAGAGAGAGAGAGAGAGAGAGAGAGAGAGAGAGAGAGAGTACCCTACCCAACCTTCTTCGTTTTGGGAGAGGTGGTGAACCTTGCCTGTGTATTTGGCGGTATCCCTACCCATCTTTTTTGGCAGACGTGAAGCTGCTGGGTGTCTATTGCATACGTAAGATATATTAGTTTAATTCAACAAATTAAGATAATTGAAATAAGGGATAATTTGCAAAATACCTCTATACGTTGAGATATATGCCAAAATGCCCCTAAAAGATGTGGGTAGAGCGGAATACCCCTCTGACACAAAAAAAATGTTTAAAAGCCCCTGGCGTTGGTTGGACCCACCATCTTTGCAAAATACCCCTACCGGGTACTGTCCATCCTTGCAAAATGTCCCAGTACTTGCCAACTTTTCCCAGGCCCTATTTGTTTTCGTTTTACCCCTACCGACCCAGGTCATCTTTGCGTTTTCCCCACTGGCCGTTGCCTCCCAAAAAAACGGACGTTGAAGAGAAGGCACGGCCATTATGGCTGTAATTTCTTGGAGCAACTTTCTGTCTGGATGGACAAAAAAAAAAAAAAAGTGGACGTCAGGTCTATTGGGGGGAAGGCGCTGTTGTTTTAGCAGTTGCAGTGTGTGTGTGTGTGTGTGTGTGTGTGTGTGTGTGTGAGAGAGAGAGAGAGAGAGAGAGAGAGAGAGAGAGAGAGAGAGAGAGAGAGAGAGAGAGAGAGAGAGAGAGAGAGAGAGAGAGAGAGAGAGAGAGAGAGACGTTGGGATTCAGACTCGACATTGGGCAGAGACATTGAGGGGGACTATTTGGGATTGATATCAGGGACATTTGGCTTGACGACATTCTCATCTCCTCCCCCCTCTTCTTCTTCTCTTCCCCCTCCTCCTCATCTGTGTATGAGCTGTGCCTGGCGCCTTCGTCCCTGTGTGTGGCGCCATTCCATTCAGACAGCGTGAGGATGATGCATGTCCAGTCTGCATTTCGACATTGATTTGGTCTGATCATTGGTATTCCAGTCTTCCGCTGTGCTATCTTGCTCTATCTGTGAGAGGTGGTTCTTGGTTCTGGTCTGTACCATATTGGTATGCGACACATATTACTTAGAATAATAGAATCCCATCCTCTCTCCTGAATATGTTAGACCCCTGCAACAGGGTCTAATTCGTTCGGACTACCCTGGGGTAAAGCTGCCTCTGAACTTGGGACGGTTCTACTCTAAAAGGGGTTGGTCCCATGAGGGGAAGTGGGCCCATAAGGGAAACTGGGTAATGGTCCCA